TGAATTTATAATAAATAATAAAGTATATATTTAAATTTCTGCTACAGTTCTGGATTTTGCAATATTTGTCTGATTATACCTTTTCCATCATCATCTAATTATTCTTTCATTTGTTTTCAATAATGTCAACAAACAGTTTTCCAGACATCCCAATTAGCTGAGATAATTTTCCATCAACCTAGTTTTTTATTTAGTGACACCGCCAATATGACTGAATTAAAATATTTGATTAATTATCAGGGTGTTTTACCTTTCATTATTTTGGAAAGTGTTATTTATCTTTTAGAATCATGCAATATGGGATATAAACATATTTTCCTCCAGTGTGGCACCACTGGAGGAAAACAGTCTCTCTTAAGTTGAACTTGAATTTTGGTAACTTCCCTGGATATGTCTTGGTATTTTTCTAGGCAATGGTATGGAAGTGATTTTCTCACTGCTTTCTTTAGGAGTATTTAACTTGATTGCTCTCAGTTCTGGGCTAATTAGATTTTATTCTATTATGTGAGAGGCAGAAAATGGAAATACTACCGTATAAAGATATAGGATGGAAGATACCCTGTGAACCTGAAGCCATCTGCATTGCAATCTGTCTTCTCCCACAGGCTTCTTGAACAATTACTATGGTGAGTATGTGAGAATGCAAAGGGCTCTGTATGTGTGCTTAAGTAAAGTTTTGTGCTGTATTGTAATCAATAGTGCTAAGAAGTTAGTATAAAAATGTGCGCTGTGTGTAGGGTGACACGCAGGACTGATATCTCATGACATAAACTCCTAAGCGCTGAATAAGCAAGTATGTTCAGCAATCTCAAGATGTTGTCAAGTGTGCAATGTTGCAAGTGGGGAGACCAGGTAGCGTGTGGCAGCATAATTGGCTGTGAAAAGTAACACTGAGATGTGTGAATCCAAGCACTACAGTTTGTAAAATCAGTTTATGCTTTCTTTCTCTGAGCCAAAATAGCCTGTCATGCTGAATAACTAGTAGCTGATTTTTTTTAAAAAAAATTGAAAATCATTTACAACTTCTAAACCTCCCAACTATAAACATAAAGTTGCATAATAACGCACCATTAAATATATCAAGGTTGCAACCATATACTGCATTAGCATGTGTTTCAGGTTAGCAGAAGTTCACGTGTATTGGAAGATACAATAAATTATAGATTGAAAACTAAAGTAAACAAAAAGATAAACATAATTCTGCAAGGCAGATTTAACATTCTTTAAAACAGTAGTGGAGTTTATGCTGAATCATATTTTAACAATGGTATATTAAATGATTCACAATTGATTGGGCTGATGTGTAATACTAATCAATAAACTATGACAATCACAATGGCTAAGTCTGTAGAACATGCAAAGCCAAAACAAACCATAATATAGCGTAATGTCTGAATCCAGTGACTGATTTAGCACCACGTCTGACTCAGTCACCCTTTGTCAAACTATTGATTTTATTATTTTTACAATAATGTATGTGCCACCTGATTCAGAGGGCTCCAGCTGTCTTCAAGGATAACCCCATATATTGTGAATCGCAATAGTCCAAACACACACACGAATAACTGTTTTCATTGCTGTGTCTAGGAAAGGAAATAAGTTGCAGATTAGACAGAATTGGCCACAGACACTATAGCAGGAGCCCTGTATCTGGGAGAACTCCCAAATCACATACCAGCTCTTTGAAAGATAACATCATTCTGCCAGAAACAACATCCACAGAATTAGATGTTTTCTGTAAAATAATTACATCCTGCTGGGATCCTTTCTAAATTCCTTTCTATACTGTCCCTCACAACCACCAGGCACTAGATCAGAATGTCCACTGCCCCCTCCTCCTTGGCCTGGGATGATCATATAAGTTTGGCTAAAATCAATTCACTAATGATACTTAACTTGAAATTGACAGATAACTTCTCCTAGCGGTTAAATGAAGTATAGTAAAGGGCAGATTCTGGGACTCTTGGAACGAAGGACTTAAAAACTCTCCTTCCCTGAACTCTGATTAGAAATGTCCATTCAGGAAGAAGCTTAATCACTAGAAAACAGTGTGTTTTCCCACTTCCCCTTGTAAGCATCAACCGCTGCAGTATGAAATAGGCGCATACAAGAAACCAACATCGATACCATGGAGAATGAATGAAATGTTTATTGAGGTTTTGTTTCATCTGAAATGTAAACAGTCAAACCATTTGGGATTTTGTTTCAAATGAATTCTTAGAAATTATGTTGGATCCAATTGTTCTAATTATTTCCCAAACTCTTGAAAATTGAATTCCTCCAGAAGGCCTGACAAGAGTGACATGACATTCAGTGCGATTGTTTTGATAAACTCCATGATTATAGAATTTTACATAGTTCCTACCACAGAAACTACTTAAACTTTTATGTTGCTTATAATTATTAAAAACCACCAACAGCTTTACAATATAAATACACAATAATCCAAATTAAACTAATAAACAATCTAAATTGTAAGCACTTATAAATAGAATGAATAATTAATTCAAAATAATTACAAATAAATTATCCAATTCAATAATCCAATCCCGAATGTTTGAAAGTGATACTTTGCCTTGGGCTTGAAATAAAACTTGTTTCCTGTTTTGTGTACTTTTAATCACTTATAAATACACCATATATTAAAAAACATGGAATTGAATTTTATATTATAAAATTATATCAGTTAAAAGAGTTCACTAAGAAATGTTTGGTTTTAGGTTTTGATGAATGAGTTTAATTATTTCTTAATGACTTTCACACACGGTTTCCTTAACCACAATTGGTTAGGTTCACATAATTTATCAAACTGAAGCTGAATAAACATTTTGGCTTAATGTAATGTTCCATTAAAAAGCAAACTTAAAATTATTTTTCCCCAGTTAAAAGATGCCCATTTTGCTTAAATCTCTGTAAGAAAGCACACTGAAGAAACAATAGAAACTGAATCACCTGAGTCATTTGAAACCACATTAAAGAAAGTGTTGTTACATATGTTAAAGAGGACAGCCTGGGAATGAAATATTTGCAGACATAAGATTCACTCCATTATTATTGTGGGTCATTTTTTTAAATTTCACATAAATGTGATTGGAGCGGTCAGTGATATTTAACCAAGTTAGTTAAGCAAGTTCTTTATTAGTATTAAATTATAGGTACTTGTTCCATTAAAAAAAAACAGCTTATTAATGTTCGGGTACTGTTTATTCTAGAATGGACTAGCAGCATGCAGGGTGATTTTGTGGTTAAAATGTGAACCGGGTAAGCTGTTAATAATTGAATGACAACCCAACTACATACTTAAATGATAAGATTGGATAATTTGTAGGGATGTCAATTATTCCACAGATGGAGATCTAGCTTTGAGTCTGAACAGAAACACACATGAGGTGTTTTGGTTAGTAAATGGTACAAATCAAGTTGTTTTATTCCAAATATGGTAAACAGGCTTGTTTTTTATTTTGGGCAGTAATGTTGAGATGGGAATAAATCTCCTTCCCCCCAAAATCCAGGATATTGCCAATTTAAGGGAGTCAGAGGTAGAATACTCCATGTTGGGAATTGCTGAAAAGAGAACAGGAGAGTGCAGTTCATCTGATCCACTGTTGCCTTACTTTTCCCATAAGAATTTGTTTTATTTGAAACCCAGAATCATTAAAACAAAAATGGCGGGTCTGAAATACGTATTTTTAACCTATGTTTCAATGTGGTTATAGTTTATTCATCTGGAAGCAAATTCCATTCAGCTGAATAGAACTTTTGAAGAGTCATGCATAAATATTTTCTCAGGGAAGTGGAAGTAGGCTAGAAAAAATATAATGGAAATAATAGATGACAGGAAAACAAGGCAAACCACAGGTTTGCCTGACAGACAGATTCTAGGACCTACAAAGACTCTGGCAGCAGCAAACATGCCCACTCCCTTTACTCCCTTTATTATTTGTATGTGTTTTTTTATGGTAAATTGGCTTGGATGTCAACAGAAATTAAATATTAGATGTGTGTTTTTGAAACCTTCATGGAATAAGGATATAGGCAGTTAGGCCAAGCCTTCGCCCTTTTATCAGTTCATATTCCACTAAACTTCTTTTAAGTACTGCGGTACTCCAAATCATTGATTATAATGAAGATTCTCTCTTCTCCACAAAGACATCCTTGGGTGTTATTTTTCATCCAACATCAATATATTTTTTTTAAATTTGTATTTTTGGAGCCAAAAGAACATTTTTCTATCATAAATTGAAGGGTGCAGGGTAATTCCTAGAGTATCAGGTTTATTATCCGGGAAAGAATAGTTACTATTAAAAAAATGTACTTACCACTCAAGAATAAGCTAGCTACCCTACACCCCATTCCAATGCGCTCTTTGCTTTGCTTTTTCTCTTTTTTCTATGTATACATTTTTCTGATATGCAAAGTTTAGAATCAGGTTTAGAGCGCAAGCTACTACACGCCTGTATTCTCAGAAATAAATCTTAAATTCAGTGACGAGAAGAGGATTGCACATTAATGGAGAAGGGGTGGGCGTTTTACAGCGAAGAAAACAGCCTATCGCGGACTACCTTAAAAGTATAAAATGTATCTTGTTCATACGGAAACCTGCAGCCCTTTGCGCGGGGGTACCCAAACTGCTGATAATTTCGTTTCCATCAGAAAGAAACAACAGCACTTATTGCTACCTTACAATCAGCACCCTCAGATCAAGACTAGTCTTACATTTCCTTCCTGGGTAACGCGCGAAAAGGGAGTTGCAGCGGCAGCCTCAAGATAACGAACGGGCAGCCCTTAAAACGGAACTAGAGAGGTTCCCGACACCCGACAAAAGTAGCTGCAGTCGTGGGAACAAGAACGAGAGATGAAACTCGCTAAAAGGCGCGAAGAAACTTGGAGAGGAGAACCCAGAGACAGGCGAATTCAAGGCTGTCGTTGGAAAGTTTGCACACGCACAGCTCAGGAGGTGGGAAGGGCGCGGTCCGAGCCGCGGTTAGGAGTAGCTCCTGCTACCTTTAGGAGGCGCTTTGTTTCTCCCCTCCTCCTCTTTCTCCTCTCCAACCGTCTTCCGACGGACCGCGCAAACCGAACACTTCTCCTCCCCGGCCATCCTTCAGCCGCTTGCCAAAGGCGGTTTGCAACCGTCGAGCCGGGGAGTCCCCCTCAGCTCCGCTTTGCTCAGCATGGAGAAAGGAGGCTTCAAGAGACTCGGGCGGCTCTTCCACCATAGGAGCGAGTCCGAGGACTCCGAACCGGAGCTGGGTAAGGATACGCCGGTTTCCTCTCCTTGTCCGTCGCCTTGCTTAGAAGGGCGGCGGGAACATCGCGGCAGCTGCTCCTCCACTACCACCACCACCACCGTTTCCGGAGAGCGCAAGAAGCGGTCGCCTTTCGGGCACTGGCGCTTGAAGAAGAAACAGCAGCAGAGTAAGGACGAAGAGGCAGCGGGGGGCAATGCGGTCATCTCTTCCCTGTTCGCGTCCTCCTCCGACGCTTCGGAGCCCACGACTCCCACCAACAGGTAATCCCGGCCTGCTTGCTGTCATCTCCAGGCGCGCCCATCCACCTGCGTCTTGCAAGGCGCCTTTCTTGCTCGCTCCCCCTGCCCACTCCTAGTACAACCACAAGCCTTGTAGTTGCTGCTGCCCACCCCGCTTTCTCTCCCCGGAGGAACTAAAGAGTCTGCCCCCACCCCAGCGCCACCCGACCCCCACTTTCCCCTTTGCTCCTTCTTTTGCTTCAGGTGGTTTTGAGGTTACCCAAACTCTTCTCCGATGGTTGTTTATTGCCAGCGAGGAAAAAGGCGCGCGTTTCCCGTCTTTCCTCTCGACGGACGCTGCTCTCGGACTAACGGAGGACCCGGCCACAGACGGGTGGGCTTTGCTGAAACGTACCCTGTCTCCCAGACAGAGTGTGAAGCTAAAGCAAGCGCCGCCCTTGCGTGATCCTTTTCCCGGAGCTCTGGGTCTTAAAGGCACAGCAGCACTGCTTGTTTTCTTCTTCCACCTGATGTTTGTTGTGGTTTTTACCAAACCGTTGGGACTTGGAAGAGAACATTGGGTCTTGGCAACGGCCTCCCTAACACTTTCAATGTCTCCCCTCAGTCTTTTCCCCTTCCCCAAAATCCTAGGATCAATCCCCCCAAAATATATCACCCAATGAAATTGAATCCTGGAAGAATCAGGACAGATAGAAGAGTTACTTTTAACAACACATAATTAAACTCTGGAATTTGCCATCCCAAGATTTGTGGCCACCTGCTTGGCTAGTTTCAAAAAAAGAGTTGGAGCCAGAGGGATCAATGGCTCTTAGCCTTGATGGGGGAAGAGCTGCCTCTGAAGGCCATATGCTGGGCTAGTGGTGGGCTTCTTTCTGCTTCTGACTGGCCATTTGGGAATAGACTGGTGGACTAGATGGGTCCTGGGACTACTTATGTAGTCCCAGGGCCCATCTGTGGTTTTCCATCTTTGGTATTCTTTGGTTTGCTGACCCATGAGGCAGTCCCGGAACCAGCGAAATCTGGGGGCTGGGCAGGGGACAGAATGTATCTGCCCTCAGTGTGGAAGGGATTGCCACTCTCAAATTGGCCTTTTTAGTCATACTAGATGCTGTTTTAGGACCTCTTTCCAGAGCACGATACCATAGTCCCTTGAGACTGAAGAATGCCAATGCTGACCCATCATCCTTTACACATCTATGTTTGCTTACCAAATAGAGAAGTTCTGTGATGTTGGTTTCTTATTTTAAAGAAAATTCTTCAGTATCAATACATGTGTCACCAGTAGATGGAATTGATTTAGTAGTCAGACTGAACTTTGAAATTGGTGTTCTTCCAAAGCATCACAGATACAATGACAATGGCAGGTAGAGAATCAAGATCTGAGTTCCTAACATAATAATTATCCTGAAGTATGTGTCACTTTACATCCTGTGTGTCTCTGAAATGCACTGGTAGGGATTTTCTTGCAGTTCTAATGCAAGAAGTCATCCAACTGCTCAGCTTAGACATATTGTCACATTTTTCATATTTTTCATCATTGGCATCCTTCAGTCTCAAAAGACTACGGTATCGAGCTCTGGAAAGAGGTTCTAAAACAGAATCTAGTGTGACTGAAAAGGCCAATTCGAGAGTTGCAATCCCTTCCACACTGAGGGCAGATACATTCTGTCCTCTGCCCAGCCCCCAGATTTCACTGGTTCCGGGACTGCCTCTTTGCCTCACATATTCCGAACATATTCATATTGAGAATTTTTCATATTCTCAATTTTATTGGGCATTGTTATTCCCATCTGTTTTAGGTCCCAAAAAATCCAGTCTCACTTTTTTACAATGAAAAGAGATAGACATCTATATGAGTAATCCTCATTTACTGACTGCAATTGAGATTGGCAACTCTTTTACTAAGCGACAGTCATTACGTGAGACATCATGTGATCATACTGGATTCAAACATTGGTTCCACTTTTAGTTAAGTGAATCACCACAGGTGGTTAAGTGTGACATCAAGTGACTGTGTAGATCATAAAAGGTGATCTCATGACCTTGATACACTGTGACCATTGCAAATGTGCCCCAGTTCGCAAAGTGGCTGAGTCAGGATCACGTAACTGTGGAGACACAGAGAGCAGCAAGTTCAAGGACTAGTTGTTAACCTACTTTTTCAATGTTGTCACAACTTTGATCACTGAACAAGGCAGTTGATAAAAGAGGACTATCTGTATATTCTTTTAAGGGTGAAGTCTTGAGATAAGCAGTGTTGTATTAAAAAAGTGAATTGTGGTCACTGTCATCCACATTCCTAATCTTTGCTGTAAGAGCCATTTTATGTTGTACTTTTGCTTTTAATACAGCTTTTATCTATTTTGAACACATTTTAAATGAGAAGTTTAAGTGGAATATCATAATGAAGTATCGTAATGTTTACATTTTAAAAGCTTTTCTGATTGTGTTTTGATAGAAATGAGAACTTTTTTTTAATCTTTAGAATTGTTGCGTTATCACTATAGCAATGATCACATACATTGACACTATAATACTTTGGAATGACTTGTTGAATGAAAAAAATACAGAAAAGTATTTCATTGCTAATTAAAATATTAATTAAAAACAATATGTATTACAATTAATGCAGGCTGAGCTTTCAGTGGCCTTGTGTACGGAGCATTATGGGATATACAAACAAAAATAGTATAGTACTTCTGATCTAGAAAAAGACCACTTTAATTCCTTGTTCATACTAAGACTATCGAGCAAAAAATTTCAAGCGTTGGTGATGGTCACCTATTTGAAAATAACCTAAAAATAGTTTAATATATGTAAAGTAGTCTTGTGTTGAAAATTTCTTCTTCATTTTTTTCACCCATACCTTTCATTATTTAATGAAAAAGTCACTTTTTTCTATTGACAAAGAAAGCTTGAAAAGATCCTCATGGGTGGATTGAGTTGAAGAGACATATATGAATCTCTAGTCTTCCATTCAGACACAATAGCTTGTAACATCTCCAGCTTATTATCAGTTTAAATCCCAAGGGAAAACATACTGAGGATCTATTCTGTGTGATAGACTTCCATCACTTATAAAAACAAATCAAATTCAAGACATCACCAAAATAGATTATGTTCTTAGCATTTTAAGAATGAGATGGGGGTGGGGAGAAAAGAGAACAGTTACAGAAAAGACACTTATAGGAAACTAGTATACAGGTTTTTAGCCTTCAATCGACTTTAATATTTGCAAGGATATGATGTTAGCATCCTTAGCATGTAAATTGGAATGAGCTGTAAACCAAATACAGGTAGTCCTCAAGTTACAATGATTCATTTAATGACCATTTAAAGTTACAAGTTGAAAAAAGTGACAACCAATTTTTACACTTATGACCATTGCAGTACTCCATGTCATGTGATCATAATTCAGACGTTTGGCAACTGGCAAGTATTTATGATGGCTGCCCGGGATCATGTGATCACCTTTTGTGGCCTTCTAACAAGCAAAATCAATGGGAAAGCCAGATTCACTTAATAACTCTGTTACTGATTTAACAAATGCAGTGATTCACTTAATAACTCTGGCAAGAAAGGTTGTAAAATGGGGTAAAACTCACCTAATAATTGTCATGCTTGGCAATGGAAATTTGGAGCTTAATTGTGGTAATAAATTGAGGATTACCTATAAACACTAATGCGGTATTGTTATCCTTGCTTATAGTAAGAAATCACTTGAGGTTTACCTAAGTCTGTTTCTTAAAAGACTCATTTTGAGAACTATAAGGGCTGATTTATGGCGAATCTACCTCTTGCTTTCAAATATGGAACAGGTTGATTCATAATTTTGTTTAGGTTTTTTTTTTTTAAAGTCACATAAGTCAGTAACCATCTCTGTAAATTTTGGGTAATAATTTCAGGTAGCTTAATTATGAAGTAGACTGTTTGAAGTATTTCCTTTTGTCACTGTTGAATCAGCTGGTGATTAATACCTTTGCATGCCTTTTACAGCTGAGATTATAGCCTCCTAATTGGTAGAGTATAATTAATATGGCAATAGATAACTTATATTTCCTGAACTAATTCTGTAAAATTAACACCCCAAATCTAACCAATGTTAAGTCAAAAGTAAAAATTATCATGATGAATAAAACTTACATTTAAGGAACTAGATGACTTTTAATGTGTATTGACCACCTTTTAATATTACTATCAAGGCAACTCCCAAAATAAATGTTAAAATAAAACATTTAAAATATAGAGAAATATAGGAATGATTAATGATAGAACATTGTGAGTCATGGTATGTATTGACTGTTTAAGTTTCGACTTGATAATTTGGGGACAATAAATTCTGGTCTCTCATGAAATCAGCAAATTCCTTGTACTATTGTATATTTGAATTGTTTCTTAAACATTATAGTGTTTAAATATTCAGGTATTCGGTTTTCTGTGTTGTTTCCAATATGAAATTTACCCTAATGTCTCAAAGATTTATTAAATTATATATAAAGTTTAATACATCTGGATGATACCAACTGAAAATATATCAGTGCTCTGAGGTTCTTCTTTGATTCACACTTGCAACCAAATTGAGATTGTTTAACTGTGATCTTCTGAATAAACTGGATACAAAGCCTCACAGTTGACTGGACATACAACCAAACTGAGCTAGCCATATTATGGGTTTGTCATCTTTCACAGCATTCAACTATTGGTCAAGCCAATCAGTGAAGTGCAGCAAGCATTTATATGCCCAAGAATGAATGTGGTTCAGAATAAAAAAGTTGTTTAAATATAATCCACCATTTCTTTTGCTAAATAAAATTTATTTGAGAAATTTGTTTTCCAATTAAAAGAATACTTGTATTAATAATAAACTCAGAGTAAATACTTTAACTCAAAATTAATATATTATTTAGATATATTTATGAATGAAGAGAAATAAACTAAAAGAAATTTCCTTTAGAAAGCATATGTATTTAAATATTTCCGTCCCAATTTATAATGCATTTATACAGAAAGTAGGTTTAGAA